TATACATAAATTTTATTACTCCCTCATGAATATAGAAGTTGTTTACGGGAAACCCTTGATTTAAGTGTACCAAACTAAAGTGTAAAATTTACCAGAGAAAAACAACGACAACAACAAAATAAATGGGAAAACATAAAGCAATAACAACACAAGACCACTCACGGCCCTAAACCTCACAAGGATAAGATAACACTCTACGACACCTACTAATCTTGTACATAATACACAATTAATCACCTCTTCTTTATACTTTTTCGGTCTTCAAAATCTTGTATTGTGCACTTGACCAAATAAATCAAGTTATTTATAGAAGGATAAGTATATTACCTGTGTGAAGCTCTATTTATTTTTTGACACATGAATAAGTGGGTCATTTATGTACTGCAAAAACTTTTTACATTTAACAAGAAAGAGAATATACTTACACATAAATTGAGTTGAAAAAATATAAAAAATGCAAGAAAAATTATGTGTATTTGCTACTTTTTTTTAATCATTATTAATATTATATTAGTTTGTGGAATTATAGTCTTATAAAGGATATATTGTTGTTATTGTAGTTGTATATTAGTTTCACAAATTTATTTTGATATCATATTATTCTGTGTATTCATGTTGTGTTTTTTTTAAAAAAAACTTTTATAATTTTTGTGATTTTTAAATGTAGTCACTTTAATTTAGTTGTTATAATTTGAAATGTCCATTGTTACCTTATTTTTAAATTAGAACTTCTAAAGGAAAATAAAAAAAAGTTAATTATATTATTATTATTATTATGGGGGTGATTGTTTAAAATAAAATATCGCTACTCAAAGAAATAGTTTTTGAAAAGTTTAAACTTCGTTTAAGTTAGTAATTTTAATGAATAGTCTATACATATTAATTATGTTGGTACTTGCAAATTTAGAACTTAAAACATCAGGTGGATGATAATTAATAGGCAGAAAGTACAGAAAGTGGTATCATAATTCTTGGTGACTTATATAACTAAACGTATTCTATTCATCTCCTAATTACCTTACCAATTTTCAAAATGATTATTCATATTCTTGACAATTTTTTTGTGGAAGAAATTCTACACACACACACATATATATGTGGTGTTTTCTCCTTGAGTTGAATAAAAAAAAGGATGCTGAGAATTATATTGTGTTTATATTAGAGGTTAGCAAGTATAGTGATGAAGATTAAAGCGAGATAAGAAAGAAATTATATATCGAATGAAAGTGTTGTTTTGATGGAGCTTTAAATTTTCGACTAATCTAAAGTTATTTGAGTTATGCATATACACTATTATATTCTTAAGTGGATAAGTCAAAATAATATTACTGTCTACTCGATTGATAAATATTATATTATAATAAATTTAAATATTTTTTTAAAAAAATTGTTTCAATCCAAATACTTATTTTATTTTTTTAATAATAACTTTCTAAAATTTATAACTCATTCATCTAATACATTACATTTATTAAATAAATATATCATTTAAATTAAAATTATTAAATTTTAACAAATTCGTAACTGACTCAATTGCATTTGACATTATCAAACTCAAGAAAATGGTAGAATTCTAGAGAAGTCTAGCGGACCCAGTCCGTCTTACGCCCCAATAAAGACATATCTCTATACTTCTTTGACAACTGACAACACTCACGCTTTCACCATACTTTTTGGGTCCAAATTAATTAATATTGTTTAAAATTAATATAAAGATATTATGATAATAAATATACATTTTTTTATAATATTTGTAACTTGCATTATTTTATATTTTTTAAAATATATAATTTCTGAAAAATTTAAAATATTAAGTTGAGTTAGGACAGAGGAAGTAAAATACAAGTTTTATGCATTTATTTGATTTGACAAAACATGTGACGTAAGTATTTTCACTATCGTTGTATTATAGTGATGAATACTTGGTCTTCTGCTTGTTCATCCACGAAGACCTCTTCTTCTTTTTTTTTTGGGGATTTAAAAGAAATGGATTAATTAATTTCCTATTTTATATATTATTTTTAGTACAAAATGTACTTTTAATTTGAGTGCTACATATAGTAGTGACGTACACTTGAGAAAAGAAACGGGTAGATGATGATAATAAGAACGAGCGCCGCGCTAAGACAGGAAGAATATGTCATGTTAAAGAGTGAAGAATAATTTTCGTTTTATGTAAATTACGTTTTGAGGTAATGCTGAATTTTTTTTTAAAAAAAATTACTGATTTAGATTATAATATGGTTATATTATTTATACAATTAAATTTGAAGAAAAATTATCCAATCAACATTTTAAATATTTTACTTTTTGATACATTTGTCATTTCAGATAAGTTTTACACATAAACTAATCGATTTACTTGCTATTACAAATTTAGAATTTATCAAGTTTGAGGCAGAATAACGTAACTAATTTAATTTGAAGGGAAGAATATGCTATTCTCTCTGAGATTAATACTATTTTAAGGTATTAGATTCAATTTTGTTAATGGTAAATTAAATAATCTCATTTCTTGATTAAAAAAATGAATTTGATTTTTATCTCAATTACATGATGACTAACATGTAAGACTCTCTCTCGTTTGAGACGTAAGATAATCAATTAGGTTTCTATTTTTTTTTTCAATTAGAAGCCAAACATGTCACTATTAGAATATATTTAGTTATGTAATTTCTTAATTAAGGTAAAATAAGATGATAACGTTGAGTGGAATAATTAGAAATATTAACACCTGTAATTCTCTAGAAATATATATATATTTCTTAATCATGTTTATTCAATATTACCTCTCCTGTTCAGTTTAGTCGTAAGTTGTAATGGTACATGTTACTCTTAAAAAATAATTAATTTTGTTAAATTCTTAAATTATGTTATGCATTTTTTAGTTTCAATTTAATGCTACTAATTATTTTCATCATATTAATCTTTTTAAATATTTATTTGGTAAGGGTAAGGTCAAAACTAATATACAATTAATTATTACTTTTTATTTAAATTGTTATTTTAGGTCTTTCATGTTTATTAAAAAAAAATTACTATAGAAAAAAGGTGTAATTTACCAAGTTATTCATATTCTTACTAATTTTACCTTTATAGATACTTTCTTTGTTTCAAATTTAATGACAATGTTTGACTTGATAATTATTTTATAAAAAAATAAAAGGCTTTTAAAATTTATAATTTAAAAATAGCTTTAGATATTTATTTGATTCTAAAGTGAAATTTGATAATTTTTGGGACAAATTAAAATGAAATATGCGACTGTATAAGTTAGGATCAAGGCAAAAGTACAGATTAAAATATAGTTCCTAGGTTACACGAAAACTTAACTAAATAGCAATACATTCAAAAGAAAACAATTATTTATATGATTCTTTTATTATGTAAAATATCGCTTATTTAAATCAAAATAAAATAGTAAAAATGTCACTTTTAATCTAAAAAATCGAATAAGAGGAATCGAATACTTCTATAATATAAAGAATATAATTTGAAAATAATTCTCAATGATACTCCTGAATCCTTAAACTAACTATTTTGGAATAAAATGATAATGAAAATAACACATGAGTATGTCACAATTTTTTTATATCAATAAGCATGACGATTAAGATGGATCGAAAGAATACTCTTCTCATTTTAAGAAAATGATATTTAATTTAAAAATTAAAAATAATTTTTTTTGATACCGCATCTTTCAACATATTTTTAGAAAATAATTATGAAATGTATGCCTAACTACATTTCTAATATCTATTATCTTAGATTATATAATATGTTTCACAAGACTCTGTCAGCTGAGGTGACCAAAAACGTTCACCCAAATAGGACATATTAGACATTTAATTTAATCTCGGCCCTTAAATCAAACAAATAAAGTAAATCCAATGGATAAAAGTCAATATTGTAGATTATTCTTTTTGAAAAATTTATGTTACACGTTCTTACATTGGCCCATCTAAATTGAACTTCATACGCGTTCCTTGCGTGTGATAGTACGTGTTTACTTGAAAATTTAAATCAAAATATTTATTTACGTCCTAATTAATGATACTTAGCCCTCAATTTGGATATATTCCCTCTGTTTCTGTTTATTTGTTCATATTTCTTCTTTTAAATGTCCTTATTTACTTGTCCATTTTGATAAATTAAGAAAGGACAATTTTTTTTTCTATTATACACTTATTTAAATTTCTTGAAAATTTCATAGTTTTAATTCATCATCCTTATTGAAACCATATTGAATAAGGGTAAGATTGTAACTTTCCTATGTTAATTATTGTTATCTTAATATGTATGACTTTTATAAAGTGGACAACTAAATAGGAACAGAGGGAGTAAATAATTTTGAGATTCTAAAGTTGTTTCTGGATATGCATGTTATTTGAAAAAAAAAAAATTCGTGAGTAAAAAATTTCTAATATTCAAAAATTTGTCTCAATCAATTTTTAAAAATTTGAAAATATTTAAAATTTTAACTATATTTTATAATTAAATAGATGTTGAAAGATGAATTTTCCAATATTTTATTTAAAGTTTATAAGTTATAATCAGCCACTAATTTAAAGAATATTTATTTAAGTTTATAAATCAATCAAGTTTGGATTATAAATATTTTTAAAAAATTTATCTATGCGTATGAAAAGTACCATAAATGCTTATTAACCAAATCAGCTCAACTGGTGCATTTCAACTTTCGAGAACTTTTAATTTATTATTTATCTTTTTTTTTAATTTGATATATCCATCGTATCTCATTTTTTCTTTTTTAACAAAGATATAATTTTTTTTTTATGTAAAATTACAAAAGCTTTAGCAAAAATAATTCATTGAATTTCCATTTAAGTTGGTGGGTACCTTTTTGAGAATTTACAATTTTTACAATTATTGAAATTTCTCTTTCATCCTTTTTTTTTTATATATAAAAAAATAAAATAAAATTCCAACAAACCCATATACGCGGTGGAAATTGAGCAGAATATAAGGGCGTTTTCCTGCTGTTAGGGTTCCCAAAAAAATCCTCTCTCTTTGCCTTTGTAGACTTTGTCTTCTTTCTTCATAATTCATTGATTTTTTCTTAATCAATCTTTTCGTTTGCATTTGATTGTTGATAATTTGGAGATTTTAAAAGCCAATTTAAGTTTTTCATTGCTTTTCTGGGTTTGATCTCAATTTCGCGTTTTGAGATTTCAAATTTTCAATTTTGGTTTTTTTTTTGAGTGTTTCATGTGAAAAAAAGAGTAATCTAGAAATGCCAGTTACAGATTATCAAGGAGCATCTGCATCTTTCACAAATTTTGGGAGATCTCTTTTGAGTATGCGTCGAGATCAGGTGCATTCCATGGAAGCTGCTCATGAGGCGACTAGTCAAGAGATTGAACTCGAAGCTTTCCAGAAGCAAGTGGCTGAGCGTTTTAATGAATTATCTTCTGTTGATTCTGATCAATTGCTTTCGGTTCCCTGGATCCGTAAGCTGTTGGATGTGTTCCTCTGTTGCCAGGAGCAATTCAGGTCTATTTTGTTCAACAACACTGCTAATTTGAACAAACCTCCTATGGACAGATACGTCACTGAATATTTCGATAGGAGTGTGAAGGGATTGGATGTTTGTAACGCGATAAGGGATGGAATTGAGCAGATAAAGCAGTGGCAGAAGCAGTTGGAGATTGTTCTGTGTGCATTGGAAAATCAGAGGTGTGTTGGTGAAGGTCAATTTCGTCGTGCTAAGAAGGCTTTGATTGATTTTGCAATTGGTATGCTTGATGAGAAGGAGTCTAATACATCTGTGGCTCATAGAAACAGGTCATTTGGCCGAAACAATACTCAGAATGATCATAAATCTTTAGGCCATTTTAGATCATTGTCATGGAGTGTTTCTAGAAATTGGTCTGCTGCTAGGCAGCTTCAAGCAATTGGTAACAACTTAGTTGCTCCAAAAAATAACGAAATTGCTGCTACCAATGGATTAGCGTTGGCTGTTTTCACAATGAGTTATGTGTTATACTTTGTAATGTGGGCACTTGTGGCAGCAATACCATGCCAGGACCGTGGGTTGCAGACCCATTTTTATGTGACTAGGCAATTCGTTTGGGCCGTCCCAATCCTATCACTCCATGAAAGGATTTTGGAGGAATCGAAGAAGAGGGATCGTAGAAATGCTTGTGGATTGTTGAAGGAGATTCATGAGATGGAGAAATGCGCTCATCATATGAATGAATTGATCGATACGGTTCATTTTCCAATCACAGAGGAAAAAGATGGAGAAGTGAAGCTAAGAGTTCATGAACTTGGGCTTGTTTATGATGGTTTAAAGAATGGATTAGACCCTTTAGAGCGCCAGGTTAGGGAAGTATTCCATCGAATTGTTCGGAGCAGGACTGAAGGCCTCGACTCAATCGGACGAGGGAATCATGAGTGAAACAATTGTTGGGAACCCATCAATTTAGAATATGATATATAGATTTTCCCTTTTCAGTTCTTTTCTTTTTTGGACCTTTTTTAGATGAGGGAGAATGGTTAATGGTGCCAGAAAAATAAGTAGTTTAAAGAGGTGAAAATAATGTATTCTCACTTCATATTTGTAAAGAAATTTAGGGAAAAAATGGATCTTTGATTCATTTTTGGTGATAATCATCTTGTTTGGGATTGTATAATCACTTATGACTTAAGTTTGCTTTTCTAACTCTTTAGCTGGGTTTCCTTTTTCAGTTTCTTTTAGTTGTTGTTGCTTGCAATCTTGGTGTAAGAGACTCTGTATGCTTCACTTACGAGATTACATTGTTTGTCGTTATTGAATTAGAATTTAATTATTATGAAGCTTAGAAAATGAGTTTTACAGTATAAAGGAATGTCATTGACTGTTCAGTTAACATTGTAGTGATTTTCTGTCTCTGTTCATCACTTGACCATTCAGCCTCTGGAATGGTCATTTTTATATTGAGATTCATTTTATCCCAAAAAACATTGATACTTTTGGAGTTGGCTTTGTTGGTCCTTTTTTGTTCTGACATTAGAGCTGGCTTGCTGTTTTCTACATTTTCTCAAGTATCTTCCATGAAAAATTTTAAACAATTCTTCAGCATGTGATTTTGGTCAAAATTCTGGTTTCTTGTTGACTTGGACATTGTTTTTATTTATGGAACCCACGTTTGTTAATTCTCCTATGTGAATAAATGAGTCAGGTAAGACTAGCATGACTTTCTTTTCTTATTCTTTTTTTTTTGTCAAATGAACCCCGGTAGGGAATGCTTTAGCTCAATGCGAGAGTTTTTTATTTGAATTTAAACGAGCAATTTTTTCATATAGTAAATACTAATAAATATAATTATATATAATTCGTTATACATATATAAAAAAATCAATTGTATAATTTGTTATATATATACGAAAGAAAGCAATTGTATACAAATCAATTGTATAATTTGTATATGTATTAAACGAGAAATAGAGAAAGACAAAAAAATATTGAGCAGGAGAATATTTGTATTGTATAATTATAAATGTATAGGACGAACATATATGTATTTGGAAATGTATATACTATTTTCTCTCGCTTTATACAAACAGAAACACAATTTATACATTTTGTTTCTATTTGTATAAGCTATGGAAGCGAACAAGATCTGAGAGAGTGGCGAGAGAGATCTGGGAGAGGGGAACGAAAAAATATATGTATATATATATTTTTTTTCTCGCTTTATACAAACAGAAACACATTTTATACACTTGTGTTTGTATAAAAGTGAGAGGGAGCAAGCGAGAGAGGGAGAGTGGCGAGCGAGAGTTTGAGGGAGAGAGGTGATTGACAAACAATTTGCTATAGGTCACAACTAAATCAAAGTGTGGTTATAACATTTAATTTGATTTATTAGTTTATCATTATATAAAAATTTTCCAATTTAAATTTAGTTGGATTTCAATATAGATTTTAAACATCAGATGGAAAACCAAAAGAAAATGTATTGGGACAATTTCCGAAGTTATATACATTGACAAGGTAAAGAATTTACACTATCAATGCAGTCAAATTCAGGCATTTCAGTTCTTGGTCGTTCAACAACCTTTAGGCCGTTTGGCCATAGATTTATCAAATAATATTTGGGAAAAAATTTGGCAAATAATGTTTGTTCATCCAATTTGTCATTATTTTGACAAATATCCCAAATTTTCAAATACTAGTTTTTTTTAGTATTTGGGTCAAATCTCGGATCTTTTAAAAATTAAAATTTTATCCCAAACTTTTATCTTTTACAAAAACATTCTCTATAGTAGTTGTTTGCGTTGTATTACATAATTTTTTACGTGAACACCAAAATGGGTGATGAAATATATAGTGAATATTAAATAATGATATGATTGTTGATGAAAATGATGAAAAATTAGCTCAAGCTAACAAAATCATGTGTTTCGTCTACTTCACGATGTATGTAATGATGTTTGTTGCACTCACTCCAAATTACCACATTGCTCTAGTGTCATGAACACTATTTGTTATTGTTGTAACAAACATTCAATTGACTTGTAATACAAACTTATAGTTAGTTTTGATAGTTTTTAAAACTTACGAGTATAAATCATATTTTTTAAAAAAAGATGAAATATATTTTCCAAATCTTATGGCCAAACACATAGTGAAATTTCACCTAAATTTTTAGTTAAATAATATTTGTAAAAAATATTCAAAAATTTATGACCAAACGCTAACTTAATATGGAGTTATTAGTTTCTAAGATTCAAAAATTGTGATGTTAAGTCTATATATTTATGTGTTATATACTACTTTCTAATATAAAAATAGTGTAATTTGGGTCAAGGACAATGGGGGCTTCAAATAGGTTATTATTCTATTGTCAAGATAACAATATCAGACTTGATATACAAACTTACTTGTTCTAGTAAATCACCTTTTAATTATAAAACAAACTGTATACATTACCGTAAAATGTTTATGTCTGCGTTAAGTGTACACATATCTTACTTCTATTTCTGAGGTAGAAAGAAATTTTTTTTTAATTGATTCTCAGCTCAAGATATAATATTCTTGAAAAGAGGAAGTATGGAAGTATAAAAAACAACAAATAATAACAAAAAAAAAACAGCTAGTAATAGAACAAAAACTTCAACAACATGATATGATAATTGAGGTACAAGTAACAAAGTGTGAAGAACAAGAAACTACATGAGCAATATTGACTACTATATAAACGATCTTTTTTTAGTAACCTTTTGTTCTAATTCGTATTCTCCACACCTTCCTACACTATAATGTATAAAACTGAAACTTTTTCCAACAAATCTTGTTAGTTTGTTAATATGATCCAAACACCAGAAACAAACAAAAGGGGCATCTTAAAAAAAAACTTAATCAATCTCACATGTTTGATTAATTTGTCAAAGCATTGAGAACATGGTAAAAAAAATTGAACTCAACCCCTCCTACCCCCTACCCCACACCCTAAACCCCTTCTAGATTTTGATATTTTTATGGCCAGCTAATTGCTCATTTTGAGAACTGGATCATAGCTGGCATGTTTGTTAACATCATCAATAAGTTCAAAAATCAAGATTTGACATTATGCAATATAGTAGTAGCTACTACCAATTGGATAATGAGAGGCCACTAAGTGGTAAGAGATATTTGAGGCATTCTTTGAATGAATCTACAAGTCTTTTGAAGGGTGTGCTTTAATTGCCATATATAATAAATATATGTTGCATATTAGCTGGCTGAATATATATAATATTATGGCAGGCAACAAAGAAAGTGGACCTCAACATTTTTTCCAATATCTAGGACAAGTTCTATATTAATGGCTTCTATCTATAGGACAAAAATGAAGTAACTGCCAAATTATTGCTTTTTGACATTATTAAAGTTTTAACCATATTGACCTCAATGCCAGATTATGTTTCTCTTTTTTCAATCGATATTTCAGAAGCAGTCTCTTTAAATCACTAGTAGGAATAAGATTTATGCATGTTCTATCTTTTTCAGATTTAATTTTGTAAAATTATACTAAATATATTATTGTTATTTGATGTTTATTGTTTTATAACGCTTATTTGAATGATTTTTCATTCTCTTTTATTTTCTTAATTTAATAAAGAATGAGTGGAATACAAAAGTTAGTATGTGTATAAGAAAATAATTGGAAACCTAACCTTGCACGAAATACCAACGAACTAGTGCATGCATCCTAGCTCATTGTGGGATTAATTGATAACATATGTATGTGGTAGTCATCATTAAAACATTTTGTGAGAATTTGTTGGTATATTTTAAAAAACATTAAGAGTATTTTTTTTAATGTTTTGCTTTAGATATTTGTTTTTCAAAACTCACTGACTCGACTATTCTGATAAACCAATTAAGAAAGTACTTTTTTTTGTCATTTTTCAAAACTCAAATCTCTATCAAACTAAGTTTAAGCTAATCGAGAAAGAGAGTGAGGCTTCCAGCCATATTCGAAAAGTTGAGTAAAAGTTGTATGTTTGCCAAGGCAATATTAGATAAGATCCTACGAGTCCTCTTAATTTTCAAAAAATGAAAAAATTTCAACTATTTTATCTGAACGGTGAATAATTTTTATTTATTGAATTATATAATTAGATAGAAACATTATAGAAAATAACTACTAACGAAGCAGCCAAATAATTAGATGCATGAAAATGTCATGTGGACATCTCAACTGCTACTTACTAACAAGTTGCAAAATTTGGAATAAGATTGAACCATGCCATTGACATTATATTATATTATTATTTAGCTTCACGTGACATCATTGAATCCTTTATTAAATTCCAAAAGGTCTTCAATTCGTTGGCACATCCTCTATAGAAACCCCTATTATTTAGAGTATAAATTAATGTTGCCTTTGATATTGGCCAAATTATTTCTTATAAAATTCAACAAGTAGGTAATATTTTCTCATTTTTTGAGGGTTGCCTAAAAGCATTAATGTAGCTATAAGTTTTTTAGAAAAATTCTATTTTAGTAATTATTTAATGTTTTTTTACAATTTTTTTTTGGAGTTGAGTATAGATTATATATATAGAAGAAGTTTTTTTTTTAATTTTTTAATTTTATGGTTTGACTTTGCACCTAATTGGTAGAATGTAAAGATTGTAACAGCACGATTCATCTTTATTATTTAGCGAGGACAGCTAATTCGATAACCATTTCATTAATTACCATTAAAATTGTACATAAGTTTCTTATCCATTAACTTCCTTTTTAAAGCAAAGAGGCTATCTGAATATTTTCCTCTTTTAATAAGAAATAATTTGTGTCATTATTATTTGAATGGATATTCACGGCAATAAAAATAATTTTTCGCGGTATTAAATATTATCAATAATAAAGAGTGTTAAAATTTTAACAACATTAGTTAAGTGATATTAAAATCAACGCCGCTAAAGATTCCAGGGACATATATAAAGAATGTTAATTGTCGCTAAAAATACATATTTAGCGGTAATTAAAAATTAATTGACGCTAATGATATTTTTTATGTAGTGATTTTCTGTTTGAACCATTAATATTGAAGTGTTTTTGTAATTATTATTTTAGTGAACTTCACATATACTAAGTACTATTAAAACATGTTAGTATAATATATTATTTTAAAATTCTTTTTGGATACACCGGATGTGATGGAAAACAAAAACAATTCTAATCAGGATTAACTGGGATAAATTATAGAGTTACCCCAAATATTATTTTTATTAATTGCTTGGTTTGTTACGTTTGTTTTAAAATGAATATGGTGTATCAAAATAGGATTAACACGCCATTTTGTCAATATTATTTGTATAAAAATAATAATCAATAATATGGGCAATGATATGATAATTCACTCAAATGAGATAAGATTAATAGAAGTATATATATACCAAACTTATAATAAATTTGAATTGTCATTTTCTATACCTACCAAAAGTATATGAGAGGCCAAAATGAGAAAAGGTCCCTCCTCTTCCAGTATGTAACCAGTTTTTATTATGCTTTAATTACCAAAAGTTGGTTTTCTCTCTCTTTTTAATTAGTACTATATATATAAAATATAAATAATAAATGATGACAGTTTTTTTCTATTATAGAAAATATTCTTGTATAAATACTTTATTATTATTCACAATTCCAAAATCACAATCTTTTCACTTTGTTCACTCATTATTTATTATAGTGATAATAAAAACACAAGATAGATCAATGAATTGAGTGTGTGTTGATTTTTGAAAATAAATTATTGTGGAATGAATTGATTATTTTTTAACTTTAAGTTGATTGAAACTAATCCTTGGAATTATTCTATTTTATACACACAATTTAAACATAGAACAAGTGAGTGATCACAATTCAGAATTAATAACATAATTAAAAATTTAATAGCGAAGCAAGAAATAGATAAATATTTTAAATTTTTAAAAGCTTAATCGAACAGACTTTGTTGTTAATCTACATCCATATTGATGGAACAAGAGCATATTAAGACTCAGTTAAATCCACCACAAACACATCACATGGATTTGGAAACCAAATGTCCAAGTCTGAGCCAACTTATAATGGATCATAACTGACTCTATAGTCTTATCATTGATTTTTTATGTAACTTTTTAAGTTGGAGACCTATCACTTCGTTCTTCAATTTATTGTATCCACAAGTTTTATTAAAAAGTTGGTGTTTGAAAATGTATGAAACATTATATTACATGTCCAATTTAGGATAAATGTGCAAGGCCAAGAGCATTATTAGTGTGTCTTTATAAGAGATTAGGCATCATATTATGCCTTTACCATTTATCGACATAATGTCAAACTCATCTCCCCACTCCCACCCACCCACTCACTCTTAAAAGCATTGAAATCATATGACTATGAAATCTAAAATTAATCACTCCAACCACCAAGAGTACAATCAGCTAGAAATTTTACGAATGGTGTTCATAAAAAAGGGAAAAAACTTTTGCTTGTGAAATTTAAACACGACTCATTCTAGGCATCTGGAACACATCAAAGGGTTCTAAAACTAATGGGCTACTGCAATCTATTATGTTAAGAGTATCTAGAATATATTATTTAATCGCTTTCATCTTTATTGTCCAAGCGCTCCTATTTCTGTTGAAAATATAATCAAATTTTGGACTCCTGATCCATGGGCCTTGGTGTGAAGGGAGTGTTAGAGTGGGTAAAAGTTTCTCATTGGTTGAGGGATGGACTGGTGGTCTCGTTATATGGACTTGAGCAAGCCTCCCCTCATGAGCTAGCTTTTGGGATTGAGTTACCGTCAGTTGTGATATCTTCACGCAATTTCTCTAGTTGGAAACAAGAAAATAGATTTTATATAATATATAGATTCACATAAAATTCTGGATTCAACACTTGTTAGTACAACAAAAGTAGAATAATATTATTGGAAGATATTAATGGGCTAGGACCTATTCATATTTGATGGACCTTTTTAAGTTACTGACTAGTGTCAGTAGACCTATAGTATAAATAATTTGAAAAAGTGTGCGTTGTAAAACATTGATAGAAGAAGAATTTAGAATCAACCTAATGCAATACTAAACTTAAAAAGTGTTACATTGTGGAGTACAAATGAAGTCCAATGGAAGGCAATGTGCACATATTTAACAAGGCCTTTTCCTTTTTTGCTTGCCTATCCCACAAGACACGCCATACAAACCCCACTCATGAAATTACACCGATAATGTTATTATTGTAGTCAAACTTTGACAAAACTTCGAAAACAAACTTTCATGTATAACAAGTTATAATCCTTGAATCAAAGTATAATTTGTAATGAAGCAAAGTATATGTTCTTTTACTCTCATGTTTATGTTAGGCATATGCATTTGCATTGTTCTGGACTTGAAAAAAAACAAACTTTATTTCATCTAGCATAATCAAAGTTCTTGTAGCGAAAAACCGCGAAAAATGGAAATGGAAATGGGTCTCAAACTAACAAGAGTTGCTAATGAATCCTCTTCTACTGAATTTCAATTTGCAAAAGACAGAGCTGGCCCTCTTTTCCAGTCTACAGAAACAGACACAATGTTCATCCTTACTGTCCATTTGAAAGGTAAAATTTTTCTCTTCATCATCATACACACAGTAATTTTTTTCATTTTCATGTTCATTTGTACTTACTTCTAATATGTATAAACTCTGTATATAGGTTATATACAAGAAAATATTAAGGTTGATATTAATGAAGAAGGGACTATTATTGCGATAAGGGGTGAAAAATCGGTTCAAGAAACGGTGATGGTAGGGTGGAAATTGATCAAAAAAGATGTAGAAGTTAGAAAATTTAGTAAGGCTTTCAAGATTCCAGATGGGGTTATCTTGGATGAAATTAAGGCTAGATTTGATGATGAAATATCCATATTGACAATTAAAATGCCAAAGAAAGTAAAAGGGATTCTTGGAATTGAATTTGTTGAAGTGAAGGAACATGAGGAATTGCCAATTGTAGCTAACAAAATTTCTAAAAAAGTCACATTTAAAGAAGATATGGATAAGCCAAAAGCAGAGGAAAATCAAGGAAAACCACGTGAAGTAGTCCAAAAACATGTTGTTAAGGATGAAATGATGCCAAATGAAGACTCAAAACATGTTGTTAAGGATGAAATAATGCCAAATGAAGACTCAAAACATGTTGTTAAGGATGAAATGATGTCAAATGAAGACTCAAAACATGTTATTAAGGATGAAACAATGCCAAATGTAGACTCAAACATCCAGAACAACGATACGATTGATGAAACAAGAGAGGCTCGAGGGGATTTTGTAGGTCATGATAAACCTGAATCATCGAATTCGAGGGATGAACATAAAGATGATCAAGCTAGTGTAACATCAAGGAAAAGGGAAGATGACAATGTGCCTAAGAAGAGCTCAAAAATTTGTGTGCCTATTGTTGCAGGATCAGCCTTAATATTATCTCTTTTTGTGTTTGTAATTCATCTCATAAGAACTAAGAATCAATCTGTGAAAAGAAAAGGTTAAAAGGCTAACAACATAGTATGAATGTTGTTATTTTCTAAAACCTTTTTCTTTTACTTCTTTCATTTGATCGTAAAAAAAGAGAGTTTGGTGATTACTAGGTTCAATTTGTTGTGTTGTGAGTTTGTAATTGAGCCTATAAAAGCATAACATTGTTATGGGCACTTTGTATCACTTTTCTTTAAGGTGCGGTGGTGGTGTGATTATGGTTGTTTGGTCGCTAGATAAGAAATAAGTTATTTATATGTTAATTTTCGTATAACTTCTACGTCGTTTGATAGGTAGATAGAAAATGAGTTATTTATATATAAAACTAATATGTTGTTCGGTTGGTGGTTTGATTATGGTTGTTTGGTAGCTAGATATGAAATAAGTTATTTATATGTTAATTTTCGTATAACTTCTACGTCGTTTGATAGGTAGATAGAAAATGAGTTATTCATATATAAAACTAATATGATGTTCGGTTGACAATTTTAAAACCCGCATAACTAATATATGTGTAAATTATGAGAAAATCTATGTGTTATTTTATATGAGATAGCAGATGGAATAACTAATATCTGCATAGAATAATAATACATAGATTCACTCATAACTAATTGATTTTTGTATAACTCAAATCAGCTACCTAACAACCTTTTCTAGCCTGCCTTGCAAATTGCAATTCTATTTACATATCTCCTTAGCTCCCTACAATGTGCTTATTAAATGAAGGTGAACAGATGCCATCATAGCTTTTAGTTTTGGGCTTTATACATTAAAACCTGAATTGTTGGAACATCTGGTCTTGGGCTTTTAGCTCACTACAAGGATGCTAGCAACCCTGAATCTTCAAACATGTTCTTATTAGGCCTTACTAATACCAATGTTTTAAAGGCGTTCTTTTAAGTGTCGAAGAGTTACACATCAGATGAAAATTAAAAGAGATGAATGAGTTAGTTTTTCGAGTTAAATTATGTTCAAGATTAGACTTCGACAAGTGCCTTCTCATGAGCTAACTTTTAAAATTAAGTTAGAGACTCAAAATCTATTTTTTTTTTTGCACTATGCGAGTTTTGAGATGAGCTTCAAGGCTAGGCACAACGGAAACGCACCAAGAGGTATTAGTACACGAGTCCCATCCAAAATGGCAAATAATTTGAATATAATTGATTTTAATAATTACGATAAATAATTTAAGACGAAGGAAGGTGCCAAAACTAAACTAATGTCAAAGTAGGATCAAAGGATAGCAACATTAGAGATGATAATCAGCCCCTTTTAATGCTACTTAAGATTCAAAACTACATCCCAAACAGTGGAATCTCTCTTTTTTACATTCCAAACTTTTCTCTTTCTCCTTTTTGCATTGTCTAAAGCATCATTAAGAAAATTGCAAAGCACACACTTCTTTGAATTGCTGAAAACCCCACAACCTGCATTTCCAAATTTCAAAATAACAATTAAATTAATTAATTAATTAATTAAACTTGAAAACATCAATGAGGAATATAATTAGAACTAATAATGAATCTAATCAGTACCACCACCATCAGTCTCCTTTTGTCCCTTTTGTTCTTTTCTTTTTTCATTCACTTTTTAGGTCATTTTAAATTAAATTCCCCTCTTCCTTTTTCTTCTTTTTTGTCATCTTTTTCTATTTTCTTTTTTTGGGTTAGTTCTTGAAATTTCAGAAATCCTAAAAAAAATTAAAAAATCTTTAAGTTAGATTAGTTTGAAACTCTTTTTTGTGTGTGGTTTACATTTTACACTACACCAAAACCTACATTTAGACCCATCAACTTAATTATCACTAAATATATATTTTTAATAACAATTTAGTACCTACTAAAATTTATTATAATTTAAATAAAAGAACAAAAAGATAAAAATAGAAAAATAAAAAAAGAATATAGACTAACCAAAAAAAAGGAAAAAAAACATAAAAAGGAATCAGTAGTAGTGTTACTTAACAATAATCCTTATAAATAAAACTTAAAAAAAGTAATATATGAAAAAACAGTAGTTAGCAGTCAACCAGTAGCAATTACTGGAATTATTTCTCTCTTTTTTAAAGAGAATTATTTATACGTTAATATGTTATTTCTAAAATTTCATTCTCCGTTCTTCTCCTCTTGATCGAGTAATTTCATTTTTATTTCTAGCTTCTTCTTTTTTTGGATATGCCAATCTCCGAAGGCTTTTTTTTCTATAAACAAAATATTGAATTACTGACCGAAGAAAATCGTTTAAATGTATGAGGTATTTTTTCTTTTAATATTTTTTTAAAAAAAAGACTGAAAAAAGTCTAAAATTTCCCCTTTAAAAAGTATATTATATGGACCGCAAAAATCAAAATAAGCACTTTCGTCCCTAAAAAGAAAATCCTAAACCAACTTTTACCACTATTCCGTTTGCTTTCTAATAACCTTTTTCTTTTTAGACATTATCACTCACTATTATATGCATATATATACCTTTAACTAAATTCTTGATGTATCAAATTATTCAGGATAAATTAAATTTCTTTACACTTTTTTATTATGTGCCCAAAAAAATCATATTTTTATAATTAAAAATATTTTAATTTAAATTTTTTTTATAATAGTGTACCGAATCAAATACGGAAAAGTGATATAAATTTGACGAATTACCTGGTGATTAGAACCGGAAGTTGGCAAAGGGCGGATAGTGGCAGAGTCAACTTCACCAGTTGGCAAAGGAACCGCCGGATTACTGTTAATAAACGGAATTTCATCTCCTTTTTCCGGCACCGTTGGCCCATTTGCCGGTAACAGAGCAATCGGTGAAGGGCTAGGGGAAGTGGCTTCTCGGGGCTGAAACGGCCATGGGTATGCCGGAGAAGATGACACAACGCCGCCGGATATCACCGGTGGAGCTCCCACCGGTGGCTTTTCCGGCGAGTAGGCAGGACTTGCTGCCGGAGTTGGAAGAGATACCTTAATTGCTAGTTTTTGGCCTTGTAAACATGCTGCATTTGACCCATTGTTGAATGAGAAGTAAAAAATACCCTGCCTTGATGGATGCCACTGCAAATCAATTCATCAGGAAAAAAAAATTAAAAAGGCAGATTTTTGAACACCCTTTTGAATTCTATCCCTGAATCTTGCAAATATTTGAAGAAATTGAAAGCATGTATTTGAAACTTTGGGTAAAAACTAGCCCTTGAATCTTGAAATTATGAAGAAATTGAAAGAACTCCCTAACATCATTTTCAATTTCAAATTTTAAGTTGGATATGTTCAACAAGTTAGTGGCATTTTAAATAAGCTTTGTTTATAAAAATATTTTCAAAGTTCTAAAAAATTTACTTCTGTCGCATGTTCAAACACAACTTCAAATTTCAAACTTAAAACTTCAAAAACTCGAATTTTCAAATTTCGAGCCAAAAAGGAGCAATAGAAAGTTAAAAGAGGAACTTACAGTATAAGACTTGGAATCAGATTTAGTAAGAAGTGTAGCTTGAGTGAAATTGCAGGCATTGAAGGCATTCTGATTCTTGAAAATGTACACATTATACTCATACTTATGCTGAAAAACTGAAGAAAAAATATTTGGTCAAATAAAAAAAGTAACAAAAACAGGAAATGGTTCATAATACAAAGAAAACTAGTACTACGCTTACTAATGGAATCATCAATGTGGACAATTGGATTTTTCCATAGTGAAACTCCATCAACTACTACAGTTGTACTTTGAGAAAGTTGAAAGATTAGACTTCCAAGAATGAAGAAAAACACACAAAACATAGAGACATTTCCCATACTGAAAATTGGTGCTAAATTCAAAGGGGAGAGCAAATAAAGAAAAAAAGTAACAAATAATGTAAGCTTTAGTAGCTTTTTAATGGATGAAAAAAGAGAGTACATACAACACAAAGAAAGAGGAGAAAATAGAGAGGTGTCAGTGTGTTAAGCTTTTCACGGGAATTGTTTTGAATTTGTGTACTCCTAATGAAAATGTGTTGCCACAACAATTTCATATTATACTTGGTTTACATTATTAAAAATTGGAAAAATATACGAGTAGCTCCTTAACCTATGTCCAAAATTTTAGAAATATTTATACTATATTCAGGATTTACTATTCTCAGAATTTATTTTATATATAATTTTCTATTCCTTTTCGACTTACGTGGCATTATCTTGTGAGTTCAATGTATGTTGACATTTTTTTTTCAAGTTAGTGTCACGTAGGACGAAAAGAAATATAAAATTATTTATAGAATAAGTTGAAGAGTAATAGGACATTAGTATAGTATAAGTGTGTCTCTTGGAATTCGGGCATAGATTGTGGATATACTTATGCAATTTCCCTTGAAAATATTTATCCTAAATTATTTATTACTTTACAAGGTTAACAATAAAATGAATTGAATTTCTTGCATTGTACTCCTAAAATTAATTCTTTTTAAAGTATTATAAAATTATTTTTTAAAAAAAACTTCTGTTAAAGTTTACCTTCTCCGACGACAGCTAGTTCAATGGTTTCTAAGCTAGACGGCGATGATACCTAGAGATGTGAAAATAAGTTAAAGCATAAAGTCATAACATGTTTAAAATAAAAAGGAAGTATACATGTCTCTTCCTCGCGAATATTCTCCCAAGGGGAAAACTCGATTTGTTGCTTGAACAATCCTTTCTGGACTTAAACAAGCATCCGGGGGTGGATTTGTCGAATTTGCTATGTTGATGTTGATTTTCTTCAATCTCAGGCAGTCCATTTTTAATCGTTGACGTGAAAACTATTATGTTATTTCTTTTAGTATGTGTTGATGAAATTGTAATCATTGGAAATGACATTCAAAAAGTTCTCTATATCGAGAGATTTTAAATTTCGTAAGTAACTTAATGGTCGTGTTTTAGAGCCTCAAATCAGAGAATGAAATAGAATTCCTTTATCACATCACACATGTAGATCTTTACTTTGATAAATCAGAGGATCCTCCTTTCAACAAATTCTTAAATATTAGGATAATACCAATAAAAGAAAAGGTAGACAAATAAAATGGAATAAATAATATTGATTACTGTTTCTAGTACTACTACTAAGAGTTCAAAACACATTTGAATTATAATTTTTTCATGAATTTCACACTTTAACTATTAATTATTTTTATTTTCTTTTTAAATTATCACCATCGACGTAAAAACACCAATTGAAGTGGATTAGATCAAACTATCAATTATTTTTTTTTTATTCAAACTATCGTCATCTACTCAACCGAGTACGTTTTAAACAGTGTTTTAAAAAACGTCTTTGGGGCGAGTCTCGGGTTGAGGCGCACAAAAACGCTCTGGGCAGTAAATTGAAAACGTAGATCCATAAGGCGTAAGTCCTAAAATTTGAGGCGTAAGCCCTGAACATAAAAACGTAAGTCAAGATGTAAAAACATACGCGCGGACATTTTTATTTTTTAATTTTTTTTTCTTTAAATCATATTTTTATTATTGGTTTAATGATATTTCTCAAAAAATAATTACAATACTTTTTTCTTCATTATTGATTATTAATACTTATCTCAAATAAAAATCATAAATCTTTAAAAGGTTTGCTTTTGCTTATTTTATGAGTAATTAAACTATAAATTTGAATATACATGAGACTACACCGTGTATATCTATGGGACTTATGCCTCGTATCTCGAAACTTACCTTCGCCTATAAAACGCCTCGGCTCATACCCCGACCTTTTAAAATACTGATTTTAAATATATAAATTATAATAGTTGAAATTGAAAAATAACTTGTGATAATTCAAAGTGCACAAGAAAAACAATTAATGACTGAAGAAAAGAAGAGTAATTGTTCAAATTTTTATATATATATTTTTTACCATTATCTCTACTGTTATTAGACTAACAAATAGTATATTTTTTTCTTTTAATGTTTTTACAGTAAAAGTTGTAATGATTTTGTCTGCGGAAAATAAATAATTTAACAAACGGAAAGATTCTTTATTTTAAGTAAAAAAGTGTAACATGGGATTATGATGATTTTGGGTTAGATTGGTGATGAGTGATAAGTGATGATGGGCTTTATTATTTCAAAATGATTAGTTTTTTGTGATCATGAATTTATTACACTATTATAGGGCTCTTGGGGAACCCAATTTTCATTTGTTTAAGACTTTTGAGTACAATCTTTTAAATTTATGATAATTATTTGAGTCTTTGCTCGTACAATTCTAGGTTTATTTTATCTTTTACAAGGTTATGGGTTGTCACATGTTAATGCTTTGAAGCAATTGCTTATTACAACTTTTGTGTAGTATTTTCTTCGTTTCGTATTACTTGATTATCTGATTATAAAAGTATTTTGCTTCTTTATAATTTGAATTTGTAATCTTATTTTAAAATTGTAAACAAAGAATGTTCATCGTTTGAGTAATTTCCTCTCGTGTAATTTATACTTTCTTTGTCTCAATTTATATAACTTATTTTTCTTGTTAATCAATTCAAAAAAGAACGACACAACTATTTTATCCTTGATGAATAAATTTTATATTTACACAACTAGAAGTTTTAAAAATTCTTCTTCATTTATTTGTTAAGTTTCGTTTTGTTTCGTATTACTTGATTATCTTATTGTAAAACAGTTTTGCTTCTTTTATAATTTGAATTCGTAATCTTCATTTTAAAATTGTAAATAAAGGATGTCTATCGTTTGAGTAACTTCCTCTCGTCTAAGTTATACTTTTTTTATCCCAATTTATATGACGTACTTTTCTTGTTAATCAATCTAAAAGAAAATGACACAACCAATTTATCCTTAATGAATAAACTTACAGTTTCACAACCATAAGTTTCAAAAAAAAAAAAATTCTTTCTTAAACTTCATATCAGGTCAAACTGTATTATATAAAATGAAACGAAGGAAATTGTATACAAAGATAATTAAACCAAAATTATTTCAATATTGAATTAGCTAGGTCAAAAAAAAAAAATAGGTCAAACGTACGTAACTCTAGAGCACAGTGAAAAAGTAGTATAAAGATATGTATATGACTGGATTTTATTATAAGGGTCCAGAAAAGAAATCCAAGGCTCTATCTGCCACAGGCATGAGACACTAGTACTGCTTCTAAAACACTTAGCTAGTTTCTAGTAATGTCCACTAATCATATATTATATTTTTAACTTTGTTTTTTACTAGTATATAATCACTAAAAAGCTTTTAGATATTAACAAAGAAACAAAGGGGGTGTGATTTTTGTGGACCTAAAACATTAAAAGTATAAAAAGTCAATTAAGTGTATACCAAGACAAATAACTACAAGACAAAAACATGTACACCTTTTGAACTCTACAATTTCTTTTTTGCAGAAACAGAAGCTGTTTGGTTTAATGGAGGAAGATAAGTGAGGCACGATATGGGCTTCATCTTTTTTTTAATTAAATTTTGTTGTAATTTATTAAAGGGAACATAGATATTAGGCTTTATAAATGGATTGACAGCTCCTTAAATAATTTAACGATAAAGTTCATTTAGACGTTTAAATTATGTATTTGAATACATGATAAATGTTTCAATTAGTATTTCCAACATAATATTTTAAAAGTTTCTCCATGTATTCTCAAACACTCATTACGTTAATAAGTTAGCCTCTCTTAAAATATGTTATCTTTTTTAGGTTATACATATTTTGCAGAACAAGTGTAAAACCTCAAAGACACATGTTCAAATGGATTGTTGATGTGTACAATAACATTTTTCATATTTTTAAACTTATTTACGTAATGTCAATTAAGAAAACCAAAAACTTTTCAAGATATGAGCTAAAATTAAAATGTTTCATTAGAATATCTTCTAATTTAAATATTTAAATAAAATTTATCACACAAATTAGGGGTTTCAGATAAATATAGGGAACAAATTAAAGACAGGAACAGGGAAGTAAGAGATTACGCATGCAATTTAAGATTTGTCACACTGCACACATGACTTGTCCTATATTCTTTGGTGTATATGTTTTTGGTTTTTGGTTATAATAAAGTCCTTGTCTTGAGGGCGTGATGCATTAAATCAAGTGTATATGTGCTAGTACATATGGGTTCTAAGAGGTTATTGATATATTTAATATATTTTATGAATAAATTTATATATTTGATATCAAATTTAGGATGTATTTAATATATTTATGCATAAGTAAAAAAAGATGAATATAGAGATATAGTTATCCAGATACATTTTTTAATATATAATATATATGTATATTTGATGTAGTTCGGTAGCAGAACAAGAAGAGAAGTAGAAAAAGAGGGAGAGAGTTATTGTGTGAATAAAATATGAAAAACTGCAACTAATAAATAACAATCGTAAGTTTGAGAAAGGGGAGGGGAAGGAGCGAGAAATTGTGCAATCATTTTATAGTATAAAGGAATTCATAAGTAAGTATATATGACGGAGATGTTTGTCAACTTAAATAGTCTTTTTTAAAATAAAATAAACAAGTTCTTAACCCGCCCGAACATAAAGAATTTGAATGTATTATGATTTTATGGCCTGATTTGAAACTTATTTATGAAAGGGTAAATAACACAAATCTCACTAGTTTAGAATCTAATTACGTCTCTTTTCGTGAGTTTGCAATATTATCAATCCTACCATAATTCGCACCTCAAATAAATATATTTGGTGCGTCCAAATTCATATATCTTTAACTAGATACACTTGATTAAGTGTATCTAAATATGAAATGCAACAGAAAGATATATAAATCAGGGAGGAAATTACGTGTATAACAAAGTTGGAAGATCTATTATATCACAACTCTTTAAAGAACTGAAATTCTTACAACCCTGGACAGCGATTTTCAAATTTAGATACATACCATTGTTTTGATACAAAACAAGATTCAAAGATAACATTATTTTTCAGATACATGTAGATAATTATCACAAAAACATTCAATCCATGTAAAAGTCAAAACTTAAAAAAGAAAAAGAAGAGAAATACAAGTAAATGATGAAGCTATCTGTGAATTATGTTTAAATATTGCATGTTTCACATAAATGTTTGAACTACCATTTCGCTCGGCTTGTGATCTGAATTTTGGATTGTATCCATTCTAGCACGTACATCTTAGCGTAGTTATCGCATTTTTACTGGATCTTTTCGAAGCTTAATTAGATCTATTCATGTCGGGAAATGGAGTATAAGAAGCAACAACCGTAAAATGAGACTACCACAGCCCGAATCTTAATACAACTAAATACCAAAAACCATAAAATAAAATGATGACAAGACAAGTGACAGATTGAGGGGACTAAAGTATTTACTTTTCCTTTAATCCCAAGGGCTCAATCATGAGTGCAGTCCCAAGTACCAGGGACTACAAACAACTCACTTTCTTTATACTTTTCTCCTTTTCCTCCAAATTATGGCACACAAAAATCACTAATATCCTTGTCCTCTTTAAAATTGTTAGCCCCAACTAACATGACACCTTCTTTATGATGAAAGAGCCCAACATAGGCACAGCGATGCATACGATGAGTTCATAGTGTATGTCAAGCACGGGAGAAAAGCATGAGATGATATCACTGTCATTCTTGCGAGCAAATGCTATAAACGAGCTATTGACCAAAAAAAAAAAATACTAAATATTAGTCACTCGTTCCCAAGCTAGCTTGTATCCAATCTAACAAGTGAGGCAGGCAGCATTTACACTATAACTACAACTAACTAAATAATTGTTCGGATTTCAACGAACTCCCTCCCCACTACATAAATATTAGATTCTGTCATAGATTTCCAGGTCACGATACTATATGATACTGCTCTTTACAAAGGAAGCACTATCACTCAAAAAATCACCATCTGCTAAATTATCCATCCTGATGTTATATCACTTAACCCCAGCATGGCTAGGCTCCTTTATTCTGTATCTATATCAGAAGGCATTAATTTTAAACTATGCCTGTGGCAAAACGATATATTACCACTGCATGGAGCACACTCTTCGCAGGACACGAGGCGGTTTTCGCTTCTCCACAACTGGAATTACCTTCTCTATTATCTGAAGGAAAAACAACATCAAGAAATGTTAAATGTACTACCATTACACTGCTAGTCTACCAAAGCAGAGGAGAATTTCACTTTGTAGGCCATGTTGCTAATGTATATTTTTTTATACAAGTATATTGCTAATGTTATTTTTCGAAGCACTAATAAGCTTAATGACAATGTCAAAAATTAGCTGCTTAAGCAAGCCATAGATTCTCATGCATACTCAAACAGGGAAGCAGTGTCACACAATATTAACTTAACTTTACCTTACAGTCACAACTGACAAATTACGCAATGGATCTATTAATAAGGAAAAACAACCACCATAATACAGGTAACAATTGCTATATAATTCCATGCAGTTGCTTTTACCCATCACAATACAATAAATAACTAGGGGTGAAATATAGGACCATAGCACAAAGTAGAACTGCTTTATGCATGAAAACTAGAAGAAAACCAAGATACGCTTCCACTATGGAACTATCGCTCTTTTTGATGTTCGTCACACATCTAGCATGACCATTTTTTGTTGTTTGTTATTAGCAAACATCGGAATTTAGACTTCTAATTACAAAAAATGAAAAGGAAAGAAATTATGGCTCGTTGCTATATGTATTTCCTCAAGCCGAATAGAAGATGCAATTCTGCGAATGACATGATTATAACTTCTTTTTACTACCGGGCCTTCAATACTAGGAGAAAGAAAGGCAGACCGTAACTATATTGCACACCTAAAAAGTGGAAAGAGTCTATCATCACAACTCAATGAACATGTTTTCCTAAAGAAATTGTTACTTCTCTCTTTTAGAAAAATACCTACATATTTTGTTAAGATGTAAACCAATTCAAACGGAGCTTGTGAATTTCAGAAATATGTAATATTATAGGATTCTTCGGAAAACAATTTATCTGAACATCATTAGGCCTTAAAGCGCATTTCCTGACACTTCAAATGATCTTTCAGAAAAGCAAATGACACCAATGTCAACAGATAATTTTTCAGTTAAAAGGTTGAATGAGCAAGCAGGAAGAGAAGGTGGATCACACACTTGGGTTCTTGGATAATCATAATCTTATAATGGCTAGTCAGTATATCAAAGTTATACCAGATCCAGTTGGATTGGAATGTATGAGCATTAAGGAGATCTTGATGTGAATGGATGTACAAGTTGAAACAGTACCATTATAATTGAGAAATCTGTCGATGACCTCTTTCTGTTTCCTATTCTCTTTTAGGCGTGTTTACCTGCTTGTTACTGAGAATTTTGAACTGGCATTCATTATTTATCATTCCTATATTCTAACTTCTTTTTTTCATTCTCTTATATGATTAGAGCTATATTATCACTTAAAAACATATTTGACGTCCTTTTACCGCATAGGATATTGTTGTACGGTAATGCAAGATGAATGACCAGGGGTGGACATAAGTTTTTTAAATATCGAAAAACCAAAACAGAACCGAACTAATTTGGTTCTATGATTCAGTTTCAGATCTATTTTTTTTCTAAACTTCGGTATTCGGTTCTCAGTTATATGGTACCACCAAACTTTTAATTGTCGAAGCATTAAATAGGATCTAATGGTATTCCACATACAAAGTAAACATAATAAATATAGCATCTTAATTGACAGGTCCAAGTTGGACCGTCCAACAAATTGTCTTGAGAAAAATTGATCATTTAATAAGAAAGTAATATATGATTTCAGATTAGTTCAAAAGTGATCTGCATAGCAAGAGTACATCTTCTTGCTGCTTGATCACCACATCATAAAGAGCACAATTTTATTTCTAGCAAATAACTACTAAAATTACGACTCCCCACTATTTGAGAGAAGGGATGAAATGTTGGTATTCATTAAGATAATTAACTTGATTGATTAGATGAATATAGAGATTTTAATAGTTCATACGACATTCAGGTATTGGAAGATGAAAGCAATTCCAAAACATCAAATAGATATTACACTAAAGGAAATGAGAACTAAGCCTTCTTGACCTCTCCATATAATGAAAAAAATAAGGGGAAGTCCACATCCGTTTATCAAAAGCTGATTCATTGTGCAATTTTTATATCCTTTGTATATGAGAAGATTAGAGAACACATGGGGTACAGTGAGTAGTTTGTTTAGTTTATAGTATGAGAAGATTATAAGAACCGACAATTTCAGCTCATATTTATAAAATCAGTCCATTAAACTAATTATAATGAGATGGATCATTTATATTTCAAATGGGTAAATATGGATTTCAATCTACTTTTAAATCATGAAAATAATATGGGTATCTATAAATTTACAGTATTTTGGCTTTAGGAGATTATAGTGGGTTTGAACCATTTTACCCAATCCACCATATTAATATGGGAGGATTGCAATCTAATCCATCTTGGCTCAAACTGGAATAATGTAACATTAAGAAAGACAAAGTAAAAAGAATAATTACAAAAAGAAATATCACCGGTGTCAAGTAGTAACTACAAAAAAAGAAACAAAGATTTTAAGAATTTTGGCTTTAGGAGATTAAAGTGGGTTAGCACTAAGAGCCATTTTACGCAATCCACTTTTAACCCATATTAATATGGGTGAATTGCTATCCAAACCATTTTATAGCTCAATCTGCCCAAATCTGATCTAATCCCGCTCATTTGCCACCACTATTTTGTAATATTAAAAAAAATTGTAGTACATATTAATAAAATGATGCATAAATTGATGAATTGGTAGGAGGGACCTAATCTTTAGCTACAGTTAATTTATTGCAGCTTTTGGATGAGTCGCACCTTTCAGTGTAACTTGCCAGAACCAGCTAGTTATGCATTAATAGCGCATTAATCAGGCCCATACTGAAGAACAAAATTGGAAACAAATGAACATTGGTTCAGTATACTGTATGCACTGATAAATAACTGAAGAATTGAACGCTTGACTACCTCATTATTTCAAGTATCAACCTAGCGGTTCTTCAACCATTCAGATATTTTTGCTGGCATAAATGTGAATTACGTGATATATAGCTAGAAACAAAGGGATCGTTCGGGTAAATCTTTGCAAAAACTCTCTAATTAAAGTGCTTGACATGAGGAAAAAATGAACCACTCAGACACAACATATAGGGAATAAAATAGCAAAAGAAGTTACCTGTTTATAATGTGCTCTGGTTCGCTCTTCCTGAAAATTACAAAGTACTTGTGTTACTCAAAGAATTAAATCAACAAAACAATTACATATAGAAATGCAGACGAACACATATTGGAATTATTTAGGTGCTTACAAAATGTTACAGCATTGCTTAACTTGATTATCAAATGCTACAGTAAACCTTTTCTAGCGAAGCTAAGTTCCCACCTCATCACCAAGCACATGCCCACCCCACCAAGAACCCCCTTTACTACTAATCAAAATGCCTAGTGAAGGACCATGAAGAAGCAACGGTTACTTAATGCATCAGTAAACAATTACCCTTTATAAGCAATGGCATTCGCAAGATTTTTCGTAAACAGTGTCACATTTTAAAATGAGAAGTAAATAAAATAATGTAACATCATATTAAAAAGGAACAAAATTATAAATAAAAGACAACTCATATATTACTACCAACTCTTCTTGATGAGTTTTCATTTTTTTAACAGTATTAAAAATTAAAATAACCTCATCAAAAATATTACTGAACACTTTTATATAGGGCATCAAATGATCCCAAAATAATTCATTGAATTCTACAAATCATATCATTGGCGAGCAAGATGAAACGAAAGAAGAAAAGAGAAAACATGCAGCACCTCAACTAATCAGGGAAGAAGCAACATCCTTCTCAATACGTCATATACGGTAAAGTCTACTGATGTGACACTGGAGTAATTGGTTCAACGTTTTGTTAACTACTAAGAGGTCGAAGGTTCGAACCTGGACGTGTATCACTTTGTAGATTAAAGAGCAAAAACTTTAAACACTAAACGAGAACACCGAGATTAAAACTCCTGAACCTATGTTGAAAACGCACTGACCAAATGAGTTGTGTGGCTCTTTGTGTCAAAAAGTGTCATTTTACTCAATTAATCCTCTATTTTTGTCTTGGCTTTTAATTATATATAGATATTTAGTAAAAAAAATTCCGACAAAGTGGTGTCACGTGAAACTACTTGATGCCTTGACCTAAGGTAAACCCACCCATGTTTACAAGGAAATCACCAATTACTTCTATCTAGTCAAAAAATGATTTTAGAGAGAAAAAAATCCAAACAAAGCAACTTTGATTTTCATGGGACAGCTTACAATATGAAAACAAACAGTACAAAATTATATGCTTTCAGCTACTATCCAACTAACAACAGAATAGGATTTACTATTTGATACTCATGCCATTTTATGGAAGGCTAGCTATCCCAAAAATAGTAAGTAAATAGTTTTTAGACAGTCAAAGAAGAATAAAAAATAATCATCGAACTTCCACTTCAAGATATTTCCAAGGTATTTTTACAGTCATACTAATATTCCACTTGCATATACGGGTCCTTTCCTGTGTCTTTGGAGTCGCTCATAATCAAGTAAGGGATTTTTAATGGGATGCAAAAGGAAAAATAAAGCTCGTAGAAAATTACTTATGATTTATAGTGCAATGTTCCATTTGCAAGATAAAAGTTTGCATCACTAAGGTAATCTCTGAATATCTCACAGCTTGTTTTAAAATGGTTGTTACATGTTTCTTAGTTTAAATACAATGTTTGTTTTGTTTGTTACTTGAGTTAAATTTTATCGTATCATTAAATCCATCAATTAGGTAACCATGAAAAGTCTTCTTTTGTGAAACGTCAGATTTGATGTGAGCATGTCACTACTGTTTTTTCTCTCATTTTGTCTTTACTTATTATTTGATAAAACCTATTTTATCCTTTAACCATACCTTACTATAGTAGCTCTACTGTATCCCCTGCTTTTCTAGTAGGTTAATGTTGATGTGTGACATTATGTAATGATGGAAAACAATACAAAATCTATCCAAATGTTGTATTCATTAAAACAATATAGTAAAATACAATATGATACATGATGAAACAATACTTAACAACCATCCAAACAAGTATAGTCTAATACAAGGTTTAATTTATGGTAAACCTTACACAGCATATATTGGTTTCCAGCATCAAAAATTGTATATTAATATTGCCATAACTTACATATGTGAATAGAAAGTGGAATAACAGTGTGTAGTGCACCTGCAGCACTACTGGAGAACCCCACTCTCAATTTTCCTTTTTACTTACGATGTGTTTATAATAAAGTGCTCATCTTTATTTACCAAAAGTCACGAAGATTAATTTTCATCAAGTTCACATAAGGAAGACTTTCCCCTCCTCAATCATTCTCCTTGTTCACATATTTCTTTGTTAGTGCACTTTTATTAGTTCTAAAACAAAGTTCTTCAGCGAGCCTATCGAAACAACACATACAAATTTGAAAAATTATAGAAAAAATCGAAACTTGCAGCTGCAAAATTAGATTATTGGTGTGTTGTCTTTAAAATGGTAAGAGATGTGGCAGTAGACAAAAGACAATCTCTTATTCGCTATGCTAAGAAGCTGATATATGATATACTTAACCAATTGAATTAGCATTGAACCTTCATTCTCTGAATCAATTCAAAGTCTCAGTACAAGCAATGCAAACAGCTATTTTGTCATATACCTTTTATTCAAATAATTCAATTGTCAATCTTAATTTAAAACACAGGTCTAACTGCCGGAAAGTATTAAAATACATTACCTTCTCTTTCAACAGCTGTTCATTCTCCTCCTCTAATCTAACTGCTATTGACTCAAGTTCCACTTGATAAGCCTATGCCCATAAACAAAAATCTAAATTCAGTTCACACAATCAAAAAGCTAAAATAGATTGAAAGGCTAATAGTGATCACTACTATCAGCAAAGAATACTTTTTACCTGTTTCCGTTCTCTAGACCGGGCAGCTGATTCTCTGTTTTTAATCATCCTACGTTGCCTCTGCAGAGCCGCCTTATCTAAAGGTTCCAAAATGGCTTTCCTCTTCCCTCTTCCACCTCCAATCACATCTATTCCATTTCCATATCCTTGCACGCTCTGCTGCGGCATGGCCATGTATGGGGAATCGAATGCAAAAATTCCACCACTCAACCTCTCAGTTCCTAGTTCAACCTTCACCTCACCTTGCACTGGCCCCTCCCCAGCCAGTGCCTCCTCCTCAACTGCTCCAGCTTTCACCAAAAAATCCTCCAACGTCATGATTTCATCCACTGCCTCCTCCTTACATCCCGCAACTGCGGCCCTTCTCTGCTCCCTCTTCCCCTCCACAATTTCCCTCCACACATCATCCACCGTCCTCCTAACCAAAGGTATCCCACTAACCGTCGCTGTCTCGGAATCACTGATCGGCGTTATCGCTCCAGCAGCATCAAGTAACGTAATATTCGCATTCAACAAAGTATTAGCCTCCGTCCCCTGACCTTCCCCATACACATTCCGTAAAAATCCATCAACCGTCATGGAAGTCGCCTCCAAATTACTACTATTATTACTCCCGTTATTAGAATACTGCTGATTCAGCAAATCATTCGGCATCGTAGAGGATGAAGACGACGAAGCCGCCGACGATTTCCTTCGATCGGAATTCCGCGAGGCCGATGAAGCCATCAGCTTAGTTGACGCCATTTTCCGGCGGGGCAAAATCGTAAAACTCTTCTTCTTAGATCAAATCCTCAAGTGTGTATATACATAGAGGTTTGTGTAAGTGATGATTGTGTTGTGTAATGTGCGATGGGGAGAAGAGAAATGCCTAGGGTTTCGAATAATTTGGGGGTTTTGGGGATTTGAGGGAGAAAAGTGGGATTTTCAAAAATGGAGTTCCAGAATTGGCAAAGAGAGATACTAGAGAAGAAGAGGGTTCTGTTGTCCCTTTTTTTTTGCCTAAATTAGAAAAACGAGGCAACAGTTTTTTTTCATTCTCAAACGTCGTTTTGAATGTACATTCATGTCGTCTTGTTAAATCAAATTCTCAAAATAAAATTCACATTAACTATTTAAATGAAATATTTTTTTTATTTTCTAAAACTATATATCAAAAAATTTTATTTTAAAATTTTAGTATTTAAATAAATTGAGTGATTTTCACATATGATTTTGGAGTTTGAAGTTGATGAAAGTTGAGTACATGACTTGAAAATGATAACTCTCATTCTTTTCTTATTATTGGTGAATGTTTTCACGTGATCTTAATTCTAACACTTATATTTAGGAGTGTATCTACAAAATTATCATGGCCTCATGGGGCTCATACGAACCATCTCGATAAAAAACTTTAATGATATATATTGAATAGATTTTCTATATTTTTGTATGGTTATTAATTTTTAATTAAAGAAAAAAGATAACCTAATGGTACTAAATGGTCCAATATGGACCACGAATAAAAAAAGTATTAAATATTTTCATAAGTTTGACACGTTATGTCATATACTTTTTCGTTGAAGGTTAGATTTTGAAAGATGAAAAAGAAGTGCAAGAAATGCATATACTAATGTATTTTTAATAAAAAATCAAAACAACAATAAGGTTATTTTAAAAGAACATGATTAGAAATAAGGAGAAGAATCTCCATAATCAATTGTAGCGGTCTTAATTTTTGATAATTTATTAGATAAAACCTCATTAAATTAATATAGGTTTGGCAATGAAATATTATAATGTTGTAAAGCTATTATTTAAGACACAAATTAATATTTATTAATTTAAAGAGTGTTTTGATATCGTAAAATTCAGAAAAGTTGAATGCATTCACTTATGAAAATATCGTTTATGAACTTGAGATCATGATCCATGATTAATTATCTTAGTTACCACAACAAAACGAACGTTAATAGCATATTGGATGGGTGAAATGATACATGTTAATAGGTCCAAATCTTAGAAGAAATTGTGAATATCATTGAAAAAAAATAATAGTGATGATATAGTTGAAGTTGATACAATGTCTTAGGAATCAATTACGCGTAAGGAAGTACTTATCGCATCTAAAAATATGTCACAATTTTATAGTGCAGTTTAAAAGAGGAAAAATTGTATATAGTGACAAATTATTAATTCAAATCAAATGTTATAATCACACTTTGATTTAATTGTGTCCTGTAGCAAACTGTTTGTCAATCGGCTCTCTCCCTCAAACTTTCGCTCGCAACTCTTTATCTTTCGTTCGTCCCCCATTATCGCTCGCCTCCCTCACTTTATACAATCATAAATGTATAAATTGTGTTTCTGTTTGTATAAAGCGAGAAAAAATCGTATAAACACATGTAAATACATATATCTTCGTCCGATACACTTATAATCACACAATACAAATATTCCACTGCCAGTTCTCTTTTTTCTTTCTATTCTTCTCGCTTTATACAAACACAGATTATATAAAATATAAAGTATAATTTTTGTTTATATAAAACGAAGAGAGAAAGAGTGATATTTGATATACAAACGTTTTATTTTAATTCAATTGTATACAAATTCAAATTTTATACATATATATAAATACATAAAATTGAATTGACAGTCTATCAACGATTTATACAAACGATAGGCTGCCAAAAATTTCGTAGCTAAGCAAACATGCAATGGTTAAGATATTTTGCATCTTTATTATTGATGAACTGGTTGAACTAATCAGTCGTTACTCTGAATTCCATTTGTTATCGTTATTTTCAAGTTATTACAAAGTCATGTTGTTTTCTTTCTAAGTTTTTATATTCGGTCACGCTCAAGCTAGCAAATTGATATTATTATTATTATTAGGGAAAATGCACAAGTACCCCCTCAACCTATGCCCGAAATTCCAGAGACACTTATGCTATACTAAGGTCCTATTACCCCCTGAACTTATTTTATATGTAATTTTCTACCCTTTTTAGCCTACGTGCCACTAATTTGAAAAAAAAGTCAACCATTGTTGAGCCCACAAGATAGTGTCACGTAGGCTAAAAAGGGGTAAAAAATTATTAATAAATAAGTTCAGGGGTAATAGGACCTTAGTATAGTATAAGTGTATGTCTGAAATTTCGAGCATAGGTTGAGGGGGTACTTGGGCATTATCTCTTATTATTATTATTATTATTTTTATGGTCCCGAAAGAAAAACAGTAGGATTCCACTAATTAATATTATAATAAATATATATACAGGCCATACAGTAGTAGAATTATCTTTTTGATAGTAATTGGAATCCAACTTTGTTTTGACCGCATTTCTTTTTATCCTTAGAGGTCAAAACCATTTCCACCCACTTTATATATAGCTTTTCTTCAAGTGCTTCTTTTCCAAGTTGTTTGTTACGATGCTATGAGGTTCAATCAAATTTAATATTTTAATATTATATTTCATTTTTATTTTAAAGTTCAAATCGTGATTTTGTAGCATAATATCTCACTTTCGTGCAAGTTTAATAACCCTAGCTATCACAAGCTCCTAACAAAATTGAAATTGTGAGAACTTATTTATTAAGAACATATACTCTTCATACTTCATAGAGTAGATATTAAAGAAAGAACACCAACTAGTCAAATAGAAACAACTATTCCTCATCATGAACAAGGTAGGGTTTCCATAAAATATGTACACTTGCATATAGTGAAGTGGCTTCCATATTATGTCCCATTCCCTATAGGTATAGCTACAAAGTAAATATTATATAAGTATCTTGTAGCTAGTAGTCCACATGAAGAAGAGCAATGCATCTAGTCATGAAAACACAACAATAACTTCATTAATCAACTAATGCATCACATGGCTGGAGTCCAAATTAAATAATTTAGTGAAACATTTTGTTTTTCAGAGTCAAACAGTACCGTCTAGAATTGATCGAAAATTTGCACATAAAATTTTTAATTTTTTTAAAAATAAAATTTATATATTTATAAACTACGTAAAAAAAGTATTATAAGTCACAATAATTTATCACAACTCAAAATATTTAAAAAATTTACCGTCAAAAATAAATTTATTTAAATCTTGAAATCTGAAATGTGTTACGAGAGAGTACTGTATATTCTAGCTAGCCCTACACAATTGACGATATAATTGTACTAATTCTTACTCTATCCCCATTCTCCACAAGTCTTCAAACTTTTTTATTTCTTTGTTAAGAGTCGGTTAATGTTATGTGACTTAAGCTCAGTCCATTGCATGTATACATGACTAGTGACAACATAACACCAATTATATGTATCCTCATAAGAACTTGGCATGTACTGTCTCATTTGGTAGCTTTACTCTTTGCAACTCCCAATTGCATCTAGTGTTTGTACCTGCAAAGTTGATAAATATACTCCCATAAGTTCATGAACTATATGGAGTAGTACTATTTTTGCTCTAGAACTCACATCATCAGTCAAAGTATATACTAATAAGTGATGTTTTTACCTTCTTATTTTAATTCTAAATGAATGGTATTTCACATCAAGAAAATACTATTTATATTGTTCTTTTCCAAATTTATTCATATTATATATACAATTGTAATGTTCGAACAAATTTACGCTCACTTTAATTAATTTTATAAGAAACATTTTACCTTTTATCAACAATAAATTACTTTGTCCATCAAAATTAAAGAGAAATCACCTAGTGTTACTGGAATTTAAACCTAACTCCTCGCGTTCTCACCCACTAATCATTATGGCTCAAATCGACCCTTTGGTGCATCACCCTTTTTAAATGAGTGGATTTTTATGTAATCAAGAAATTATCTATACGACTCCCTCATTACATATTTTCTTGGCCCTTGTTGATCCAATACACCCCTTTAGAAAATTCAAATTAGATAAATATTTTACTAAACTAATTTTATTAACGATACTTTAGAACACTAAACTTAAATACTAAACTAACTTTATTAAAAAAAAAAAAATCTTTCGAAAAATGATGAGTTTTTCTTTGGTTTCTTTGTTGGTGTCCATAGCTCATACTGAAGTATAGACTAAATTAAATCTAATGCACTGTAGGACCTATTCAGAAGTGAAGCTTTCAATAATATTTTCTTCATATTAAGATTTGAATTTAAAACCTCTAGTTATGAGTGGAACAATTTTACCATTACATCACAATCATATTTGTGAAAAATAAAAGAGATTTATTGAAAGGATACGATGAACTAAATTAAAAGAGTCAAAATGCAATAATTATGCTTTTTATGAAATAAATGGCACTACTTACCACTTGCAGTCTATATAGTAGGGGGTATTAATTGTCTACCAGTATTTGCTGTTAACAACCACTGAGTTTTTGGGTTTGCCTACGTCTTCAAGGTCCACCTCTCTACTCCTTCCTATTTTGGCTTTTAACATCATAAAAGGTAACCACTATTTTAGACCAAATATGCCATATTTAGAAACTTTATTTCTTCACTTTTTTTTTTTGGCTATTCTAGAAAAAGATAAACTAAATGCAACAATAATAAATACTTCTTCCATTCGGAATTGTTTGTCATATTACGTTTATTAAAGTCATTTTTGACTAATTTTCAAATGTAAATTGAATCACATTAATTCGATATTTTAAACAAAAAGATAGATATTTTAAAATTATATGAAAAATTACAATATTTTGCATATTGATGATGAAAAAATACATCTTAAAATGTTAATCAAAGTTTTTATAGTTTGACTCTAAAAATAGAAATTATGACAAACAATATCGAACAAAGGAAATAAATAATTAATCACAATTGTCGTTTATTAAAAAATAATAAATAAAAATATACCATAATGTTCTTCTAGGTAATCCTCACGTAGCCGCTTTGACGATGGACTAATGTTGTTCCTCTTCTCGACGCTATGCTATTTTCATTTAACGATTAATATTTACGAAACTTAAAAGTATATAATAAATTAGAATTAAAAATAAATATTATGTTTCAAATTATAAATACCTTA